TCCCGCCCAGCACCAGCTGTGGCCGCATCATCTTCATCCTTGACCCCGCCTATGGTGACTGCATCTTTCGATGAGGTGATCGAGGCCATCCCGTACCGGACCGAGGCCAGCCGCACTTTCTCTGCAGCCAAGGCCGCTCGCAGGTCCGAACCAGCTACGGAAACGCCTAGCTCCTCTACAGCCCCGCCTAGCGGTGGCCGAAATTTGCGGGTTGACCCAAAGGACCTGATCGGGTACAAGGTTGGAGAGGATGACGATCTCAACTATATGCTCGGTGTCGACGACGCCCACTACTGCAGACTCACCGAGGACAACCCCGAGCACGAGGACATGCGAACTGTCAAGCAGCCCGACATCCCCATGGACTACCTCTTGAAGCCCCCTCGCTGGGTGGATAAGGTGTCAAAATGGATGATCGGAGCGGTGAGGGGTTCGGTCGTTGAGTCGAGGAGCAGGGTCGGCAAGTGGATCAGGGTTGAGGAACTCCTGTTTCTTTTGAAGCGGCGGCACAATGTCGTGATCGGTCACCGAATGCTGCAATCAGTGGTGGCTCACGACAATAAGTGCAGGTTCCTCCTCGCCGAGCATTCCAAGGACCTACGCAACGACTATATTGACTGCGGGGTGTGGCCGATATGGATTTCTGCTAGCCATGGGCACAGCGCGCGCATCCAGAACGAGGTCGATGATGCCAGCATTGCCACAAGGTGGCTCGACCCTCGGAGGCGCGCGATCGACCAAGTTCCAGCCGCCTACAAAGGCAGGCCATTCTTGTGCCGCGGCGACGAGGAGTTTCCAAATCGGCTTTACCGTCGGACCGCCCACGATGCAGCCTTTCAGATCCTCGAGGAAGGCCTCATCCCAGGATTCCGTGGCTCGGGGAAGTACCACTGTTACTTCGCAAAAGCCACGCTATCGGAACTGGGCAACAAGGCAGGAGTGCGGGCCAATCTGCATGTCGAGCTAGTGTTTGACACGGTCGAGGTGCTGAAGCACGCGTACCTTTTCGAGACTGAGTCGGAGGGGATACTTTGCCGAGAACGAGTTCCGGGTGAGTGCGTGCTATACGTACGGGACTCCGACAGCAATTCAGACCCTGTGGACCCGACCGTCGCCGGGGGATGAAGATGTCGAGGTCATCGTCGAGATCGCTGGGCTGACCACGACTGATGACGACGATGAGCCGGCGGACTTGTTCTCATTCCCAGAACCGGCGGAACCAGAAGAAGAGGCTGCCATCCTCTCAGAGGTCATCCAAGAGCCTGAGGCAGAGGCTGCCACAATGGACGCGGATGTTCCAGCCCCACTTAGTGGAGGCCATGGAGATGAACAAGAAGAGCAAGTCCCCGATACTTCGGATGCTCCGATGCCTGCGATCCTCGACGCAACAGCTGCCGATGTTCTCCCTGAGGAGACGGCCTTGTTGGGAGAGGACGACGGTGCTGGCATTGGAACGGTTGCACCTCCCGAGCTTTCGGAGGGATTGCCAACCGCTGCCATCCCAGAGCCAGACACCACCATGGCTATCATCAACGTCAAAACTAAAGAGACAGCAGCAGCAGAGGCACCCGTGGCACCGAAGGAGGAGCACGTCACCAGACCTGCCAACAAGATGCCCACGGAGCCCCCGCACCGCATTCTGCCACCTCCAGCCCCATCATCGGGTGGCCGTCGGCGTGCTTGCCCCCAGTGTGGCACAGTGCACCTGGTGGGACAAATGGTGTGTCTTCGGTGCAAAGCTCAGCTGGCCAAAGCCACGGCGCAGAGCCAGCGCAAACGCCTCAAAACCGACCGGTGGTTTCAGGAGCAAGCAGCTGCCCTTGCAACTGGCAAGGCAAAGTCGCGCCTGACCGTTGAGGAAGTCCTCGCCAACATCCGTAGGGAAGTGGGAGGACGTGGTGCGCAAAGCTTGGGCTCCGTTGCCATCGAGAAGGCGAAGCAGATGCTGAAATTGGCCAACAAGCAGGGGTGCTCGACCATCGTGGAACGTTTCGAGACCGATGCCGAGTACACCATCGCATCCCTCAACAACGGCTTCGACCGTGACTTCCTGAGGACCCAAGATGTGCTTGTCAATGGCATTCTGCCGAACCTCGGTCGCAATCAGGCCCAGCGGACCCTTGGCACTGGCGTCCATGGATCTGGAAGTTGGGACCGCCCTGACTCTCCAGAGAGCGTCGCCAGGTTGCTCTATCTGCGTGAGTGCAATCCAGCCGCCTTTAAGGCAGGCCTGTTGGGGACTGAGCAAGACGATCCCCTTGCCATTATGTGGCTGGGAGTCGCCTACAGCATCTCGGGGTTCATCCAAGTGTTCTTGCAGCACAAGGCAATCGACCGGCTGCAATGCTTCACGGAAACCTTGTACCTCGACCCCAACCTGGGTTACACGGCTGCAGAATGGGACCTATGGCTGAGGCAGCGCTTGAATGCTCAGCTACAGCCCGCCATCCGTGCTCATGAAGAACGCCTTGCTGACGCCGAACGTTCCCGAGCAGCACAGCGTGCCGCTGATGAACGCCGTGCGACAAAGGGCGAGGGCAAAGGCGGTAAGAAGGGCGCACCCAAGGGACCACATCCCTATGCTCGTGGCGGCTATGGCTACCATCGCTGAGCGCAATGCCAATCCTTGCTCGTTTTCCGATACGTTAATCGGTACTCCGAATTCCAGCACCTCAAAGAGGTGGCCACTATTTCAAGCCCAAACAAAAAGGGTCAGTCGTGAACATCCGACGTAGCCACTTTGTGGTAACTCCGAACCAATCGCAATATGGATGGAGTAACTGTCCTGCGATAACTT